CTGAATAAATGAGCCTAATACACATTAGATCTAAAAAAAATGATTTTGAAATAAGTTATTCTGAAAATCCTATTAATTTATCTGGATTGAAAGGTGAAATTGCTTTAAAAACAGCAAGTCTCTGGTATAGTTGGGATAACATTACCGAAGAGTATAAAAATAACGAAATAAAATACAAGTCTGGTAAAAACGACTTCGCAGTCAAACTCAAAAATAACGAAATCAAAAAAGAAGACGATAGAAATGAATCGGAGTGGAAAATATTAAAATTACCAAACGGTTTGCACGATGAAAATGAATTAAATAATTATATCCAAGAATATTTTGGAACGTTTGAAACACCACCGTTTTATTTTGATGTAAATTATGCAACTAATCGTTTTATGCTAATTATACGCGACAAAGACTATGAAATTGACTTTTCCCACGGTAAGATACATGATCTTTTAGGATTTGATAAAAAAATATATAAAGAAGGAATAAACTATGCAACAAAAATTGGTAATATCACCAAAGATATTGATCAAATCTTGATTCACTGCTCCCTAGTTTCATCTAGTTATCAAAATAATCTCAAAAGTGATGTTATATACGCTTTTATTCCAAATATTTCACCTAGATCTTTAATTAATATTGAACCGACGCATCCGAAATATTTACCAATTAATCGTACGGATTATATATTTAATATTCGCATTTCCGTTACAAATTAGCTAAATCAGTTGATAAATTTTAATGGAGAGTGCTTAAATTTTGTTCTAGATATTCAGTAAGTCTTTCTTGTAGAATAAATGGTACTTGTTGTTCATAAAAAACAATTATTTCCGAAACAATATGGGTTTGGTCTTAAATATCATAGAGATATTAGAGGTGGAAATATTTTTCAATCTATAAAAAAATTTGCTATACCTGCATTAGGCTTTTTATATCGTAATATATTAAAACCTTTTTGGAAAAATAATAAAGAGGATATCATTCAAGGTGTGACTTCAGGGATTAAAAATATAGCGTCTACATACGTATAATCGCCGCCGTTTTCTACTTATAAAGAAGAAATTATAAATCCAATTCTAAACAAAATGAAAGAAAAATCGATGAATGAACATTTACGAGGCGACGGATTGAAAAAGGCTAAGACAGGCAGGGCGAATCGATTAACTAAAAAATCAAAGGAGATTATTAAAAATCTGCTGAATGCTTAAGTTTCTTAAAAGACTTCGCCTTTGGCTCTGGGGCTGATTTCATCAGACTTCTTTTTATTTAAATAAATGGAAAGCGTTGTGGACAATTTATGGCGTATTGATGAAATGCATGTAATCGATGAATCAACAAAAAGTTATACTTACAATGAAATAAGAGAAAGTAATATCAATGTGAAAGAACTTGAACAGTATACGCTYGAAACTAACATAAGCGGATGGAAACATTTAMCAGGTGCTTATATTTTTGTCAAATCTAAAATTAAAAACAATCCAAATAATTATGCAACTATATCAAATAATGGGATAAATGATTTTGACTATGTGAGGCTATTCTATGAAGAGGTATTAATAGAAGAAACAAATTATGTGGGTGTTGCTACGTTAATTTCAAATCTGWTTGAATTTTCTGGAGATGTTTCTGATACTTCAGCATCACAATTGTGTTGGTATCCAGACACAGCAGATTCAGCAGATACGTCTCAATACAAATATGAGGCGCAAGATAAATCGGTAAAATTTAAAGATTTAGACGTTGATATAAAAACTATTATTTCAAAAATCACAAATAATTCTGCATTCAATAAAGGATATTTAGAGAGATGGTTGTTAACAAAAGATGAAAAAACAATTTTTTTAACAAAATTTATTCCTTTATCTAAAATTTTCCGATTTGTACGAGACTGTAACAAAGTTTTGAATGGAAAAATTCGTATCGAATTACGTAAAAATAGGGTAAAAAATATATTACACGCTAAAGTTGATGGAAATTATGACTATGAAATATCTGATATTAGTTTGTGGATCCCAATAGTAAAACCCTCATTAGAAACTGAAAAAATATTATCATCATTCTTAGTTAGCAAATCTAACTTTCTTTCTGGAAATGGGAACTGGCGCGTTGTAAATAATCAAAATAAAATATCTAGAGTTTTTATAGTTTTTTCTAGAGCTGAACGAAACMATAATTTTACCAAGACAATGATYATTTTTGATAATATGAATTTAGAAAGAATAAATATTAAAATCAATGGTACCCAACATCCTACTTATGAATATCAGGTGAATAATGAGGATTTACAACGCTTGTATGCCGCATTCCTCTCTTGTAATTATAAAAAAGATTTGGATGAAGGTACGTGCGTTAGCTATAAAGATTTTTGTAACCTCTATTTAGTAGTTGCTTTTGACGTAACAAAAGAAAATGATGAAAATTTATTTAGTAAAACAAAATCATCTGAACTAGAAGTTAATTGGATATTAAAAGATTATCAAAATGTTAATTACTATATGTATGCCGTAGTTGAATCTCAAAGAATTGCAAATATGAATATCATAGATGAAAAATTTATTTGGAAATGAAGTAGTTTTTAATTAAATAAATGAATGATTATAAAGTATATTTATCACCCAATCAAATAAAGAAACTCCAAAGTTGTAAAGAAAAAAGAATAGATTGTAATATAAGATTCGATTTAACAGAAAGACCTAATAATACTATTAAATTAAGAGAAAATCAGATTGATGAAATTAAAAAGTGTAAAAAAGAGAAGAAAAAATATTGTAATATCAAATTTTCTCCAACACAGATAGGTGGATTTTTACCTGCTTTAATTCCTGCAGCGTTAGCTGTAGCCAAAGTATTGGGGTTAGGTGCTGCTGGTTATGCTGGTACTAAATTAGCACAAAAAGCCTTTCAAGATGGTATAAAAAAAAGAAGACGAAGACATATGGACAAGGAATAAAATTGATAGGAAATCGGGTTTAAGTAATATAGAAATATCTGATATTATGAAAGATTCGGGTTTGCCTCATGAAGCTACGCGAAATTTTCGAGGTGTTTTTTCAATTGACATGTTACCAAAAAAAATTAGTAAAGATGAATCAGGTATAATTAATTTTCAACCCTCTAATTGTTATAGTTCACACTGGGTATGTTACATAAACAAACCATATTTAAGAAATATTTTATATTTTGACAGTTTTGGAATATCTCCACCAGAAAAAATTAAAAAATATTTATTAAGTAGCGGAAAAAATATAGCGTGGAATAGCACGTAGTTACAAATGAGTTCTTCTGTTTTATGTGGTCATTACTGTTTATATATGATAATTAATGTCAACAGAGGCAAAGATTTTTATGATATATTATATTCTTTTAAACAGATACCGTGTCGTTTAAATGAGAAAACTACTATTTCAATATTTGAACGTAATTCATGACAGAAGCGAATTATATATTATCTATATGTTATAAATGGAAAAATATCTTCAAAAACGCTTGTATGTATACAGAAAAAGTTACTTATATTTTTATAAAATTGGAATTGGATTATCTATTAGTAAATTATTATTTATGTACCTACCAGAAAAGTATTTTTTTAATACAATAACTATTGAATTTCAAGAAAGAAAAGTATATCTTTTCTTCCCATAAATGAAAGTTACTGCCCGAGACCACCAAAAAAGGAAAAGACACTTTCCTCCAAAGTTATTACTTAGGTCTATCTATTGATACATATTTTTCCTAAGACCCAGCAGAAAAACTTCAAAACTAACAATTACAATTAGGTACCAGTATCGCTATTGAATCTATCAGTATGTTTTCGTGTTGCTATTGAAGAAGTGAAAAAAGATAAAAGTCTTACTTCTCTGAAGAGTAATTCAAGTAATTGGCCACTTTCCTTTCTGAAATTAGGGGTAGAATTTCACAAATAAATTAACAAGTTAAGTCAATGTAAAAAAATGCAAGAATAGTATATTAAAGTACAAGTTGCAGAAGGTTTCTATTCAAGCACAAATCTGAAATGCCGAAACGAACCGCGTAGCGGCGAGTTGAGGAACAAATGAGTGCTTGAAGAACCTTCTGCAACAAGTGCTTTATACTATTTTTTCTATTTTACCGCTTTATATCATTTTATAAATTAAAAAACGAAAATTTTGTTTTTTTTTCTAGAGAATTTTGCGACGGTTGGCGACATTTATGTGGAATAATTTTAGGCTGTTGTAAAAAATAAAAATAATTCTTATTTTCACATTTGGAAATGAATTGTAAAGAAAGTCCGTCATTAAAATTAAATTAACGCCAACGAGTTATTCCAGCACTCAAATGACGTCATTTGGGTGCTGGAATAGACTTATTCTAACACCGAAATAGAAAAAAAAACTTATTTTCTGTTAGAGTCGTAGAAAAAATAATATTATTCTTGATTATTATTTTTGTCCTTGCAAATTAAGCGCTATCATATTTGTTTGCTTATTTTACCTTAGATTAAAAAATATAAAGAATAAAAACCTTATTCCGGACCTGTTTGAGGTATGTACAGTTGCGGAATTAAAATTTAGGGCAGTATTTTTTGTCACTTCAAAAAGTTTACTATAAACTGTCATCATGAATGACATTTGACAATTAAACTTTTCTATCGGTGACGTTATTTTTGAAAGTATTTAAATAGGTGAGACAAAATGACATAAACATGACAAGAGTAGAAAATGACGTTATTAATGTTCCTAAAGGTTGTTTTAGAGTTTAGATTATGAAAATGACAATACCTACTGCCCGAAATTTTAATTCCGCAACTGTACATACCTCAAACTTTCAAGTTTACCATTGATAAGACTTGATAAAGTAGAAGATATTAAAGTGTAAAAAGCAATTTGTTTTTACATCTGTTTCCTTAAAATTCTAATGATGATTAAACGGATTAATAGTTAAATAATTATAATTATAAAATTATTTTTGCTAAATTTAAAAATTAATTCAAATCCAGCTTTCTACTTTATCGACGGACGCCGTGACGTTCAGGGTTGCGCTAACCTCAAAACGTCAAAAAACGGTACCATAAACAAATAAATGTTGTTTTGTTAAATTAAATAATTCTAAGTGTAAAAATGTCTTACTCGGTTAATATATCTGTGGAAGCCCCCATAGAAAACCAAATACAAGAAATCACATACGATGGGACGGAAATATACCAACCGTAAGCATTCAAACTTTTCAGGTCATTTAAATGATCAACATTTTCATTCCAGTCCATTGACTTTATCCGAGAGTCTCACTAAATACGCCCAAAAAATTGACTTTAGCAAAACCAGTGACATTGACTTTAAAAAAGAACCAGGGGACGCAATTGACGACAATAAATCCGATTCTGATAGCAAAGATGCTTTCCAATCAAGTCTGTGGCCGTGGGACTCGGCTAGAAACAAACTACGCAACGCATTCCAAGAAGTCTGCGTCTTGGCTGACGTTCTCGCTATTGCTAAAGAGAAACGTTACATGGTTTTGGACCCAGTCCAGCAAGAACCAATTGAAACAAAACCCATGGTACAGATTTACGCCCGCAAAAAGGCACTAGCGGGCGCTGCCAGTGTCTTACTCACTGGTGCTGAAAGACTGAAAACTTCCCAAAATGAAGCGGCAAGAAATAGGACAATTCCTGATTTTCATATAGAGTTATTAAGGTTGAGACAAAACTGGAGACTGAAAAAAGTGTCAAATACCATTATTGGAGATCTCAGCTACAGAACGGCTGGTTCGAAATATACGCAAACTGGGACTTTCGAAGTTACTAAAGCCGAAGACGATGACAAGACAAATAGCCCCCCAAGTAGTCCAGTACCTGGAGGGGCAACACCCGCTAAAGCAAATTCAGCTTTAAGAGTGTCAATTCCGTCAGAATTACAAGGGGTTGCATACATTGAAGTCTTATGTCAAAAAGGTGCTTCTAACTTGAATTGATCGAATTTGATTGTAATTCATTTATTTCAGATCAAGAAGATCTCTGTAGCGTCAATGTGAATTTGTTAGGGTCAGGCCCTCCAGCTTCAAACCCTGACATGCACTGGCAACAGAAATTAGAAGCAGCACAAAATGTTTTATTTTGTAAAGAGTTGTTTAACCAACTTGCTAAAGAAGCAGTTCAGTTGCAAGCACCTATCCCACATATGGTTGTAGGAAATCAAATTATGGCCACTGTAATTGCGTTTATTAACACTTTCATGTTGACTTATGACTAATTTTAGGTTTTTCCCGGAATTCAGTTAATAATAGGGTTATGTCACTCAACTGCAGGCGACAAGAAACAACAAAATAATAACTCATCAAAAACAGATCATGATCACGTATTGGAACACTCATTGCATCAGCTGTTGAGAGAAGTGCACCACAAAAACACCCATCATCCGTTTCCTCACCCAGCGACAGGCCCATTGGGCCCCTCTAAGAAACGCATGTTGGCAGGACCAATGGCCGCAGACAGATATGAATTACTCGAAATGACGAAGTCTGAAACACTTCTTGAACAAATCATCAAACAAGCGCAACATTTTTTCATGAGATTGCGCACTGAATATGTTCTTGATACAATAGCGAAAGAAGTCAAAGATCCTCTTATAAGTTCCCACTGGAACACTTTAAACAGCCCTACGCAATCATGCGTTAAAATAAATATTTCCACTCATGGGTACGACGCCCTCTGTCGGACCCCTCTCGTCATCCACGTGGGTGAAAAAAGCCTTAAATGCATCTGCAGAGATGGCAAAGTCATGCATATGAGTTATGAGCCTCAAGAGCTGCGCGATTTGATTTTTTGTCACATTAACCAACATCAGATTTTGGCGGTGCAAGCGTTGGCGAAGACAATGGGGTGGCAGTTTTTGGCCAATTCTAATCATTTAGGCACAGGGGCTGTCGAGCCGTTGGGAAATGCCAGTTCTTGTCTATTGGCCTCTCCAACTGGTGACAGGATTATAGCGGTTAGGTGTGAACCACAGACGGGTATTCAAGTCTCGGTGGCTCATTCGCCAAGAAGTGACTTTTTTCCAAGTAGGTTGGTTACTGAGAGGAAGTGGGAACATTTAGGGGGACAGTTTAGAGATGTTAGGTTGGAGAAAATGGAAGGCAGAAATTTCTTACATAAGATGGAGTTGTTAATGGCGAGTTTGACGAGTAGCTCGTAGGTTTGGAAATAATAATTTTTTGTAAAAGTTATAGGAATCAAACCATGGAAGTTGTTTGTTTAATTCGTGATGTAACTTACGTCACAAGGATCATTACGAACTTTTTCAAATTTCTGTTTGTTGAAAAAAACAAAAATTACTTTACTTCTAAAGTCGCACAAGCTGTTCTTTCAACTATATGAACTAGGAAAAGAAAGAAGTCTTTGATTTGATTGATTGATGTGCGATTATCAAAAATAATTATTTAAAACCTTCAAATCCCTCTATTTTAGATTTGTGTTTAAAATATTACCTTCTTATATGTATGTATATATTACATTTACCTATTGTCAATGCGAATGCGATTAAAAGTTGTATTTATTTAAAAAAAAAAGGCCAATTTAAGTGATTAAATTCTATTTAAAAAATTTTTCGTCTTTTTCTTTACTTTAAAATGGGGATAATTTTAAATCGATTGCCATTCCTTCGTTTCAAATGATACTTCTCAATTTGTCTCTGATTTTTTAATATCTTTGTCTTCTATTTTTTTTAAGTGTTAAATAAATCCTATTTTTTGAGTTCAGTTATTATTTTCTTAAAAATGAAACAAAAAGTCTTTGGTGGTCACAAAAAAATCGTCCATAGGCACAAAAATATTGAACAAAAAGCCACTTGTGGCCTTATTTTGTTAAGTAAATAGGTATTAGGAGTTTGAGTTGGACTTTTAAAGATTCTTCTGATAACAAAAAATAGAAAGAAATCGCTCGAAGGAACAAAGAAATAATTTAACAAAAAAACACTTACCTATAGTCTTTATTAAATATCAGAGGGTTGGATTTTAAAAAGTATTTTTAACAAAAACTAGAACAAAAAGTTGCTCTCGCAATCATAAAAAATTAATCAAAAAATCGATTACGAACACAAAGAATTATTATTAAATATAAAAAATTTATTTTAAATTTTTAAAAATTGCTTGTATAACAAAAAAATCTTTGGTGGTCATCGGTCACAAAAATTGAGCAAAAAACCACTTATGGTCTTTCTTAAGATTTTGTAAAGTAAATATCAGAAATTTGGGTTGGATTTTTATAAAACTTTAATTGTGGGACAAAAAAATACTCATAAGTTAAAAAAGAGAATCAAAAACCCAAAAATGAATCACATGTGGGTTTTTCAAATATTTGTTTGGTGTTTTTCTGTTTACCAGCGTGGCAGCCCCGCTTTGCCCGGGCCTATCACAGCGCGTCGAAGATCCGGGGCTCGCGGGTTGGTCCATTTCCATTCATTTCCAAAGCAAACTTCGATCGCTGTTGTGTTACCTATAAAAACTCCGTTAATCTCCGTTGACCAACGCTTCGAATTTGGGTAATCTAGTTGTAAAAATAGTATCTGCGACAGCGCAATCATCGTATTTATAATTTCTTGTAACCAAATCGGCGTTTTGGCTGCGAATCTCGTCAGTATTCTGTACCTAAAAACCGACGCCCTGCCATACCCGACATTTTGTTTTTGATTTGCTTTGCAAAGTCTCGACGAGTGCGTCACCACCACGACTTGGGTACTCATCGTTAATTTAGTTAAGTATTCCGAATTCGGACCCATAACTAGCTCGAGCTACGATGAATCATCCACGGCCGGTAAATTGCACGTTAACCTCTCTTGTTTTGTACCCAAATCGCTTAAAAGTACGAATTCGCCCAAACGACTGATAGTTTGACCTTATCTACGCAATGCTTCTACGTTCCACAGAACCATGGGCGAACGAGACCCCGAAAGAAGCGCCAGAGTCTACGTCGGCGGTCTTACAGACAGCGTCAAGAAGGAAGACCTCGAAACCGAGTTTGAAAAGTACGGAAAACTGAACTCTGTATGGGTGGCTTTCAATCCCCCAGGCTTCGCTTTTATCGAATTTATCAATCACAGCGACGCCGAATCGGCCTGTGATAGTCTCAACGGCACCGATTTCTTGGGCTCGAAACTGCGAGTCGAGATTGCTAGGGGCAAGTCTCGCCGAGGAGGGTTCAGAGGTGGCCGAGGCAGGGGTGGCCCGCCATACCGCGGGGGCGGTTATGGGGGCGATCGCGGCTTCAGAGGCGGCCGAGGCGGAAGGCCCGGAGGCCGCTTTGATTCATACGGGGGAGGAAGGCGCGACGACGGGGGGCGCTCATACGGCAGGGATTTTAGCAGAAGGAGAGATGGATATGGCAGAAGTGATAGCTACAATGGAAGAGGTGGTGGCGGAGGCAGGAGATTCGACAGTAGCTCCAGGTTCAGGTCAAGGTCGCCGGCGGCAGCCCCACCAAGACACTAGTTAAGCTACGTTTAAGCAATCTTTATTTGTATTCTTATTTTTTATATATTTCGTTCAGTACAACATTGAGGAAAGCTGGTGATGTATGACATTAGATTAAGTACAATAGATCTGGAGTTTATGAAGACTTTTTCGAGAAACATAATTGTTGCAAAAGGCAACTTTAGATGTTTATTTTATTACTACATAAGAGTGAAATAAAACCTAGTACCTATACAAATATCACGTGTTACTACACGATTTTTAATGGCTTTCCAATGTATACACAGTGTGTATCACTGTTTTTCATCAATTAATTTCTTTGTGGGATGAATCACTGTTACGGTAATAATACCTTCAGTTACTATTACCGAATCGATGTTTTTTATAAAGTAGCATTCGCCACCCTTTATTTGTACAAAAGCTCAATACTAATAATAAAAGTGTTAGATCTATCGTTCATTTCTTATCCATTGTTGCCTTTTAAACTTTCCTTTTCTAGTAATTCCATCTTAAGATTTTAAAATAAAAACGCTTAACTTTTTAAACGAGTTATTGTAAAAAAGTTGTATTATACATATTGCAATTTGCAAAGAATTTAAAGAATTCTTAGTGTGTTTTTACATTAGCACGATTATGGTACTTATCTAATGTACAAACTTTTGTTTGCATTACTTTTATTAGATACAAGTTTATATGCAGAATTTGAATTTTAGTTAAAAATTTACTTTCCGGATGAATTATTAAAAATTAATTTACAATGAATTGCCTTGGGAATTAAAAATTAAATAATACAGGTGCATGCATGATTGCACTGCGCAGTCGTTTTGAACACCAAGGTCATATCTGTCTCTGTCTTATTCGTTTTCTAAATAATTAAGCCGGTGTGCATATAAAATGAATGTTTGTCAACTAACATCGAGCAGAATCATTTGCAGTTCATTGAGTCAGTTTATTAAGAGAACACTGAGAACAACAGCAGCACTCAACATGCCTGCAAAGGTAGGTATATTCTTTCATTATGTAATATCACATTTGACAAAATGGTTATATTATTGTTTACCATAAACAACACGATTTCGTACCATAGGTCGGAGACTCCCTCCCCAACGTGGACCTCTTTGAAGACCTCCCAACCAACAAAGTCAACTTAGCCCAACAGGCAGCTGGTAAAAAAATAATCGTTTTTGCAGTCCCTGGTGCTTTTACTCCAGGTTGTTCGAAAGTAAGTGGCCTTGAGTAGCGCAATTGCCATTGATTTATGCAATAATTGCAGACTCACCTACCCGGTTATGTACAAAAAGCTGACGAGTTGAAGAGTCAAGGGGTCAGCGAGATATTCTGCGTTTCTGTAAACGACCCATTTGTTATGGCAGCTTGGGCCAAGGACCAAAAAACAACCGGAAAGATTCGACTTTTGGCTGACCCTTCAGCTGCTTTTACTAAAGCTCTAGATTTGACTGTTGATATTGCCCCTCTTGGGGGAACTAGGAGCAAGAGGTACTCCATGGTGGTTGACAACGGGAAAATTACGTCGCTTCAGGTTGAGCCTGACGGGACTGGGCTGACCTGCTCTTTAGCTAACGCCATCAAGTTGTAAAATAACATTCAAGAGTAATTTCTGTTTGTAATGTTGCATGATTTTATTTTATGGATAGGGACTTTGCATAACTTTTTTAAGAAATGATATTTTTTCATAGAAATGATATTTCTGTTAAGTGCAAAAGTTCACTTGGTTCCTACTTTAAAAAATTAAAAATTGTTAGTGTAAGCAATAATTTCAAGGCTCGTCACAATGACCAAATAATATTCACTGGATATTTTATAAATAGGTTTATTAATTATATAGTACTAGTAATATAATTATCATAAACCGTTATAAGAAACTATTGAGCAATTATTTCTTCCTTCTATGTATTAAGTTCCTAAAAAATAATTTTATAAAATTGAGTGCAAGGAAAATTTTCTTGCAATTCATTTGTTAAGTATCGATAAGTTTTAATTATGCAAATCGTATTGATTGGTTCTGCAATTTCTACAACTGACTGACCTCAGTTTAAACCATGATACGAATATTACTAAATAAATAATTAAGAAAGATTCTCTTGTATTTAACAGGAATATTAAATTCAGTAGAATATTGATTAAATAAGTAATGCTGAATTATTTAACCATCCAAATGCGGATCTTTGTCATTTATATTACAACAGTTATTACATATTCAATAAATTATTTAAAATACAAATAATATAAACACGTCGCACAATTATACCATTTTGAAAAATTGTTAAACAACATATGCAACCAAGTTAACACTTCAGACAACCCAGTTTTAATATTCGTTTTTTACTAAATTCAGAATCATTGCAAACGATAAAATTTAATGTTTATTTACTTTATTTGGCAAAATTCTTTAAACAAAACCAAAAAGTTCACATATTTTGTTAAATATCACTTTACTGAAAATGTCAAAAAAATGCCACAATCACTCAAAATTCCCTCTGAAAAATGTTTTTGCAATCAAAATTAGCCCCCAGTGTCCTTAACAAAACCCTTCGTTTCTTGTCTTCGCTGTGTCCCCCCAAAGACCCCATCAAACCCGTCGTTACCCTCTTGGATGCCTTGAGCAGTGCCGGCTCCAACCTCGCCCTCCTTCTAAAACAAAACCCTGACATACACGAATTGCGACTCTTTGACGAAGACCACGACACGAATGCGTTCGCTTGCGACTTGAATGAAATAGATACGCGAACGAAATTGAAATCGTTCTCTTGCAAATCTATGAAAAATGCCATAACGGGGGCGCATGTGGTCATATCCACGGGCGGCTGCCAGGAAAAACCTGGAACGACCCAGAGAGAGTTGTTTGATAAGAATTTGGACAATGTGAGGAATGCGGCTATGTTTTTGGCGGAGTTTAATCCGGAGGCGGTTTATTGCATCGCGAAACCCCCAATTGAAGCTTTAGTGCCGATGGTGGCCGAAGTAACCTCATAAACACTTATCAACTTTCTCTTAATCACATAATTTGAAGGAGTACAAAAAGGCAGAGACTTATGACCCGAGGAAAGTTATTGGAGTGACAACAGTAGCATCGATGATTGCCAACACCTTCATTGCTGAACACACCAATAAGGACCCTGGAGAAGTCCTCTGCCCGATCATTGGCGGCTTAAGTCCAAAAACCACAATTCCTGTCGTCTCACAAACAAAACCAAACGTTCAATTCAATCCGGTAAAAAATTCATTGTACAAAATTAGGCAAAACCTGATGTGAGGCTTCCAGGACTTGTACAAAAAATTACAAGAAGCTATAGCACACGGCGAGGAAACCCTTCTCTGCAAAGGTTCACTATTTTGCTACTCGAAAGCAGTAGCAATCTCGCGTTTCATTGATTTAGTCGTAAAAGCACTAAAAGGGGAGAAACACTGCGTGGAATGCGCATTTGTGGCTCAAACAGGCCACATTGGGGAGTTTTTGCCATACATGACTTCAATAGTCAAACTAGGTAACAAAACCACCTCCAAATTAACCCATTTTAACAGTTTTTAGGCCCGCAAGGGGTTATGTCCACACATATGCCTAAAATAAACGAAATGGAAACGTCTCGATTGAGGGCCGCCGTGCCCCACATCGTCGAGAATATTCTCCTGGGGCAAACATTCATCCATGGAGACTTTTCAGTACCCCCAAAATTTAAAGTAAAAAGGACTTGTGACGAACTTTTGAAACAGAAAGTACAAGAATGCAACAGAGTTGCCGGTATACAATATATTAATTGACCAAGAATTTTTCAATCTTTTATTTGGTGAAATTTAATGCCGGTGAGTTCTGATGTATTTGGTTTTACTGCTGAAGTTGCTGGAGATGATTATGGGGCTTCCTGGACGCCCCAATCGGTGGCTCCCCTTACTGAAACTGCTGTCTTTCTTCAGGCATGATTTTAAGGGGTAGGAGCCCCCTCTGATGTAATTTTTCGACGTCAATTTTGCCGGCTTTTTGTACAGTCTGATACATTTGGGTTGGTCGAAACTTTCCTTCTCCTCGTGCTGTTTCTTCAAGTTGAGTATGAAGGAGTCAGTGTGTTTTAAAAACTTGTTATCCTCGAGCTCTTCCTCAGACTTTTTCTCCACCAAAATTTCTTCAGTGCCAGCCTCCGCATCTTCTTTCAATTTAGGAGTTTCGGGAATATCATCAGTTTGGATTTCTTGTGACTTACTCGTGATTTTAATTTTTTCAATTTGGGTCTCGTCGAGATGGTCTCCAGGGCAGGGGTACACTAGAATTTTTCTGCGCCTTTTATCAGAGGCGCTTTTGATCACTTGAATTTCCAACGACTTCCTGTTGCTCATTGAGTCGATAAATTTTTGCTTGGATTTATTTTTGTCCGGTTTCCAGTTTGCCCAATACGTTTCTTCCAGTTTCTCAATGACTGACTTCTTCGACTTGGTTTTGATCTTTTTGCGGTTTTTAGGGACAAAATCACCGTCATTTTGATCGCTCACACTGACGTAAATGTGGTTGTAAATGGGACATCTCTTATGTCGCGAAGTGTGAGCTTGAATTGAGTAACTATCACTGTCTGCTGACTGTCTTAAATTTTGGGTGTGGTAACGATCCAGGTCGAAATCTGGGGGTAATTTTTTGTGACGAAAAGATAAGTGATGTTCCTGCAAAAATGTGGTTAAAATGACAAAGGAGAAAGGCTTTATACCTACACATTCCTCTGTATACAGTTTCAGGGACCTTGCATTGTGTAATTTGGGACATTCGAACATAGAATACGCCATTTTAGACAATATAACATTTGAAAAATTTTTGACGTCTGTAATGACAAGAAAAATGAGATGTGGTGATCTGCTGAAATTGGATTAAAAGAAATTCGGTGTTTTAGATGATAAAAAATATTTTATTGGGTAATTTTTGTTAGTTATTAAAAAAATCGTTAAACTTAATATGTGTATTGCAACTAAGTATTACAACGTGCAAAAATAGTCATATAGAAACTAAACGAAAGGTTTGTATGATGATTTCTATATGGCTATTAATAGTTTGTATCACAAGAATAATGTTTACTCACAACTGCACGTAATGGTGCAAAGAAATACTTAAAACATATCACTGGTTTTTAAATGTAATTTATTACCCATTTCATAGGTAGATAAAAACTTAATAGATCTCAGAATCACAAAAAATAAAATTCGAGTGTTATAAATCTCCCAAATTCAACAAAAAATCAATAACTCGTGCAACACTGATGTTTCCAAAAAATGGGCAATATCTTTAAATAATATATAGTTTTACCCTACACAAGATCGTTTTATATAAAAAAATTATATGTACTATACACACCTTATAGTATCTACTCTTGATTATACAATTTTTGACAAATTCTGGTTTCTCCATTCCTACAAAATCGCAACATTTCCATTTTAAAAAAACACAATTCACTCACACACAATTTAAAAAAAGTCTTTCAATTTGTTAAAAGTCCTACTATCTTTACCTCTATGTTACAAACATGATCTTTTTCAAGTTCAAACACCCACTTTAAATTAATTTTGATTTCACCAATGCACCGCACAACTTCTGACGGCAGTTACCATTTGTGGTTGTTGTTTTTCTTCAACAGGGCAGTTGTTCGTTCGGCAGCATTGTTGTTTTCGAACTGTTCCTGGCCAGTGTTAAAGTTCAGTAAGCGGTAATATGGCAACAACATGGCTTAGAATAATTTCCCAGTTTAGGTCCACTACACACAAATTTTAAAAGTTTCATTCAAGTGGTGAATTTTGAAAAATTCCAAAATGGCAGTAAATGCATCGCAACAATAATTTTGTATCTAATTAAAGGCAACAGATTTTTTTTAAATAAAACTTTTAAAATTTGTCGCATGACGCATCGTCCATTAATTCAAAACTAAATCTATTACAGACACTCAACTACTTTGTAAAAATATTTCACATTGCAATAATCAACATTATATAAAAACAACGGTAGTATTTACAAAACAACTGAAAGCGAAACACTTTTGTTTTTATATAATGTAACATTTTTTTTAAATGCACAAATTTAAAATTCTCAATTATGTACAAAAAAGTCGACAACATTAGTAAATTGCACGAAAAATGCTCTCATATCTACAATATAAATTCGTAATTAATTGTAAATTTTTAATGCTTCGCCGAAATAACGTTTTGTACATTGAAAAAACACCGAAAATGTTCATACATACATGAAATATACAATTTTCCCAATCAAAAAACTTAGTCTGTAGGCCTGGAAACCTTATAAAAAAAACATCAACTTTTAATTATTCGATAATGAGCTACCGTTCCTCTTATTAGAGGTTGGTAACAAGAAACATTCCAAATTTGTTGTACAACTGCATTTTTGAAAATTCGATCCTCTAAATATTACTGTTACAACTATGATATTATTACAACATTAATGTTACTGAAGATTGTGGCACTGCTTATACAAATGGATATATATTGTCAAAAATTTGTTGAAATGTGTTTTCGTCGGTAAATTAGGCGAAAGTATGCAAATACAGGTGAGAAGGCCGCTCCACAGGCGATAATCTTCAGTAATTCGAAAAATTTTTGTGCTGTAAGTATAGTGCATTGAAGAGCCAATTTTATTCAGACCATATAAATATACCACATTGAACTTGAGGTGATTTGATTTAAATTATTTACAGTCATAAATACAAGCACTAAGTTTTACAGGCCACCACTTTTTCCAGTAATTACCCAATTTACTGACCAATTTCGAGCCAAACAGCAGTTTTACTCGTTTGGTGAGTGATCGGGCCATAACGCTGGTAAACTGCTCATGCATGGAGTTTTTGATAGTTCGCAGGGCGACGGTGACCGCCCTTTAAGCTCCTCTCACCAACAAAACACGGAAAGCTCGCCGCCGTGGTCTCCGCTGTGACGCCATGTCCTCACCGAGCGAGCTTTCAGCTGTAAAAAGACAATTGGTTAAATTATCATCAAAAAACCTTGAACTTGTTATATTTGTTTACTTGTGCAAAAAAGCGAGTAAATACGTGGCGGATGGAATAATTCGAAATCAAAACATTATCAATAGTAATTTTATGCTAATTGGAACAATGGTTGTATTTCTTTTATGTTAATTTGTGCAAAAAAAGGCCTTGAAGCTCCGGTTCAAGATCAGAGATAATTCGTTGCTTAATATTATACTAGTTTCAATAAATGACGAGATGAAAACAAATTTTTTAAAATCTGTTTATCCTTCGAAAGTCATTTCAAGTCCTGCTTTAAAATAAACAGTTTTATGAAATCGCAAGATAGCGGTTTTACTCCAAAATAAAAATTAATTAATCGTACTCTGATCTAAGAAAACAAGTTTATCTAATTACATCTTTCCTTTTTACAGTCGCGCAGCTTTTCGTATTTTTAAACAAAATTCTCCCTAATGATTGCTCATAAATTTCAACAACCTGAATATCTAGGCTTTATCTTCAAGTCAAATTAAAAATATCACTAATTGATACCACGATAACAACAAATCACTCAAAAATGATTAATAATTTTTAAACCTAAAATAAACATTACAGTCCTAGCTTTAGTTATCAATAATCTTTAATGCTTTATATCGTTTACTGGCATGCATACGAACGTTTTGACGTCAAATGGGTTAAAATCAATACTTTTTTTTGTAAATTTGTAATCAATGATACGAGATTGAAATGAAGTTTTTGAAAGATTGTGAAACCATTGTAAAGAACTGTTGCCAAACAAGATTCTTTCAAGGTGAATTTCAGCTCAAAATTGTATTTTATTCACAAGTCAAGCAAATAAAATAAATGACATTTAAAAAGCGAATTCACATTTTTTTAATAAAAAGAGTGAACATTAACAGAAAGTTAGAAATGGTGGAAAATTCTCAGTTAGATAGCATGTATGTAAAAACTAGTTTTACGTGAAATTATTCTTAATAAGGAATCAAACACGAGAACAGTCGGCAAAATCTTGCTGATGCCGTGTCAAAGTGCCTTTTTGAGTAGGTATTTAGTATTACAATTGTAACATTTCTGTCCATTTGGTGTGCATAGGGTAGGTATGTGTGTGTATTCCAAGTTGGAGGACATTCAGCATTATGAGTTTTGTCTTGGTGCCAAATGCGAACTAAAAACAGCCCAACAAAGACTCAACGTCACATTGTATTTCGTGGCCGAACAATGCAAGTAAAGTTATTAAAGAGACAGAAGCGATAAATCAAAAACTAAATGAAATTGACTACTTTTTAAGTCGGTATCGAAATAATGAAATGCATTGTCTTGTTTTTTGGCGCGAACCAACAACCCGATTGAAATTTGGCAACCGAGAGTGAGTAACGTTACATAATTATAGGTTGTATAAATTCCATCGCGTTGAATGCAAAAAGAAAGCGTGGTTTTATTCGTGAACATGTTGTTAATTCGTGGAACATTTTGACGGTGAAGGTCAAGCCGTATATTGAGGCAGGTTTTTTGTTTGTGGAATCGCAATTCGCGTAATCACCGGATATCTGTTAATGTTGTTGGACCAGCTCCAAATTGTATCTTAAATACTATCGTTGTCGTTTAAAATAATCGCGTGAACGTCGCTTTTATGCCGGATTAATGCGATCCAATGTGGCACAAAAACGGGACGTGCATACACACATTTTATATCTACTTTATTAAATTATTATTGCCGTGACTGTAACTTCCTCATTGGATATTTTGCAGTAAAACTTTCCAACCTTAACTGAGTTTGGTTTTAGTCTGCACCTCGTAAAATCGCCTGCTGCATCGACTTCCTGTAATGACAAAACATTAGCTGCAAATACCGAAGAAATAGATTCGCTCTCTGCAGCCAACCATTTCACTCAACGTCGCCAGAACCCAATAAAAACAACCAATTTTTAAAACACTGTTCAAATTCTTATTAGCTCGTTGAAACGGACACTTAATTATGCAATAAAACAGTTGTATTATTAATCGACAGTTTTGCCGATGATAAACAAATCCATTTAGGTCTTTACTACACCAGAGCGAGTTTCTACAATTTATTGAATGTGTTTTTAACATCATTTCCGTTTTTGAATATTTTCTCAAGAACAAATTTAAAAAAAAAGTGAAAACCAGACGAAAGGTCTTAAGAACTCTAAAATTTTATACCCCACTTGGTTGGGCTTTACACTAGAGTGAGGTCTCAAATTATCGCTGAAATGCATGACACCATACCTGTTTTACAACAGCTTTTCAATGAATTTTCTTGCATTTCTTGTTGTTCACAATACGGGGTGATTTTAAAGTATGAGCAAATATTTTAACAGTAGAACTCAAAGGAAGACAAAACAACTAAACTTCCCTTATCCACATGTTTATAAAGTCGCGGTCAATTCATAGTGGCCATTTAATTTATTGCAAAGTTGGCAGCTCCTATCCCGCCACGTCTAGTGTGTGAGTTGTGTCAATGTTGACAGCAGAAATAACTAAATTGTGTCAACAATTGTGACAGGCGCAGTAGATTTTTAGTGTGAAGTATTCCCCGACTTTTTGAGAATTGTCATTTTTGATACATATGTCCCTAAAAAACAATTGGATGTTTAAAGTCGGATTTACACAACTCAATTTTTACAAATTTACAAAGTGGCCACTATGAATTGACAGCGATTTTATGTATAGTTTCTGAGATATAAAGGATGCAACTTCTACTTTGGCAAAATTGACGAAAACATGCAAAGTAAACGCAGCTTGAACATTTTGAGTACTTTATCGCAAAGTTTACATTGCTAATTGTCGGTAACATTTATCTAATAAAAAAATAGATGCAAAATTTTTACCGTTTTATGCTGTTTTTTATATAAGGAGACTTTTTTTTCGACTAAATTGAGTTCTACTATCACCTGTTAAAATATTTGCACAAACTTTAAAATCATAAGTGGTTTTCCTTCCTTTATGTGGTAAATGATTTTACAAAAGTTATTTATTATAATTGGTCGGATTCCTCATCATTTTTTTTAAATCAGTAGTACTGAATGTTCCATCGATGTTTTTATTTGTCTCTGACTTGTCTAAACTTAAGTCAAAAAGAAACCGAATATGGAGTGCTATAGATTTCTACATTTAGCGATAAAGTGAGGTGATAATCATGGAAAGCAAAGCTGCCCCTTTTAATTTGTTTAATTTAATTTAATAATCGCAACTTTCTAGCAGTTTTCATTTAAGAAAATATTTAGCAGTGCGCCACTGGCGAAGCAACGCAGAAATTACGCAACATCCAATCCATCAACTGCAATAATCCAAATCTGATTTTGAAGTGGGTTTTAAGGGAGGTGCAAGAAGCGTGGATCGATAGCAGTTGGAAAAAATTCTCATCGGTTAGTCTAATGAAGCTTATTTTTAATCTGCGGGTTATTTCCATCCACTATTGATAATGAACGTTAATTATTCAAGTGTATAAAAACCAACGGGCTTAGCGGAAGAATAGCACACATCCCTGTCAAGAGTGGCAGTCCGTCTTATAAAATATTAACGAACTTGTTGAAGTGCCACTAAACCATCGATTTTTCTACAAAGTAGTACATTTTGATGAAGTCATTCGTTACTCACACCGAATGTTATATATTTTTTTAGCACACATGCAAACCATTCTTGCGGAATATACGTTGGCCCAAAGTTCATTGCTATTTACACTGAAATGAATAGCGCACGAGTAAGGCAGGCAGATTTTCAACAAAACGCGTTCCTAATTCCGGCCTTTACAATAGTCGAGTTTAGGGGTCATTTCAGCGTGAATTTTTGCCTCACTCTCGAGAGCTTTTTAAATATTTTGAGTACTGAACACTTCACGGTGGTAATGACAAAAAAGATAAAAACTCCGGCTTTGGTTTCTTACTTTTTTGTCAACTACCGAAAAACTCCTTTCAAGCACAGTGCATCGCCGAGTATTTCACATTTTTAATTAGTTTAATTAGTATCGACCGCTCCTGGCTTTCTTCACGAAAATATCACCCCAAAACTGGAGGGTTTTTCAAGTGCAGACTTACTCAACAAAATTATTTGCAGTATTCGGACACGACAAGAAGCTCCGGAAAAAAAACAACGTGAAAACTTCTTTGAAATATGTTTTCAGGATTGAAACTACAGCGGGTTTTTTATTTTTTTCAAAATGCACATAAATTTATATATAAACTACCGGTAAACGTTTCCTGGAAAGAGAATTGCAGTTTCAGGAAAATAGGAAATTGGTTGCAACATCGTGGAGAAACGAATAGACGATAATTTTAGCTTTCCACCAATTGATATCGAGTTCAAGACGAATTTTAAAATAGTTTAAAAGGAAAATATATTACTGTCTGTACCTCTATAAATCTATAATAGGTGCAAAGTACACGAAAACTACAAAATCGACTATGCATTTTAAAATATTCATAAGAACGACATACACTCAATCAAATTATACATTGCCAGTGATACTCTGCTTTTATCATTTATTATAACATAATTTATAGCCAATAAAATGATAATAACAATAAAAAATTCAAATATACAAATTTTTCGATAAAATGAGCCAAATTTAATGACGGAATAAACAAACAATTTTAATGTTATAAAGTCCAGCAGGATTCTCTCAAGAATTTCAATAAAAAGCCTATTTGCGCAGACTAAACCGCCTGACTATTAAAAAATGACGAATCAATGTTGAAACGTCACATGCATTATGCAAAAACCACCCTTTTTCAATTAGTTATTGGTAGTCAATTTACGTCTTTCTGATAACATTGAAAATGCATTAAATCGTCTGCGGAGGTTACATAAATTATTAACATCCTGCACCAAAAGTAGAATTGTGTGTGATTTAGGTAGCTGCTCTTTGCTTGTGACTTCACCATAAGCTATTAAAATCTATTTGGAAACTTTTAATTGCATTGTAAAGAGTAATGTTTCATGAGGCTATTAAGCGTTGCTTAGAGTTCAACCAATTCCAAACTGGAGGCTTTAAGTCCAAATTGCAAATGTTACAAAACATCTCAAATTTTTAAGTCAGTTTCAACTATTATCTTGAATTTTTGTCTTTTCAAAGTTTGCGGTAAGTGAATTTCGAAACTCGAGTAATAATAGAGCTATTAACATTTATGTTTTATTGAAGGCGGTACTCCATTGTCCTAATACCAATACAAATCGCAGTTGCATAATCTGAAATTGCAATTTAATGCACTAAATTAAGCTGAGTGGTCTAATTTAATTAGCAGTCATTAAAAATAAGCCAAGTTTTTGTAATTTAACGCTTGTGACTAAAAATTCGTGTGGGCGGAATAAATTGTAACTAAATGAGTTTTTGTGATTATAATTTATAAATTCAAAACCTGTAATTAAAAATTTGTGAAGCAAAAATAGCCAGGAATGGAAGTTAAACACACATGATAAAGATCTTGATAAGTATTACGTTTTCTTTGTGGTAAGTTTTATTTTTTCCTTTTAAGTGAAAATTGTGTATTTAAGGTCACCTTACGCAATGAAATCGATTTTAACTTCATCCCTAATTTCCTCATTTGAATGTATAAGTAGTTTCAGTATAATGAGTCATGTTTGCATATTAAAGTGGAAAACAACAATTTTTTGCACACGCTTTTGTATCAATAGAGAGGTAGTACAAATGAAGTCAATGTCAATGTCGATTAATTGCTATACTAGTGTTATAATTGCTCGCCATATAAACTAGTACCTTAATGACCCATACTTACATGCTGCATTTTTTCGAAGTCCAAATAAGGTCTCTGTACATGCGCGTGTCTGGTGTGCTTGGACCTTTTCCTTGGTGACTCTTCATAGTGCAACAATTTGGGTGGTGGACTCATGGATCGTCCCTTGTTCATGGGGGTTTTCCTCCCCGGTTTGACCGCCTCCAAAGGTGGAGAGGTGCGAAATTGGACCGGTGTCGCCATACTGGCGAGCAAATGATGGACTTCTTCGTCCGAAGAACCGGAATGTTCGATGTGGATCCCGTCCTCGCCGTAGCATTTATGATACGGGGAACACGGCGATGACGGACTCAGATTGCCATAATGTGACATGTTTTCTTCGTTTTCTGGCGTGTACTTGTGGCGAGAATACGAATCACCGACTTGAGACCATTTACGTTTTTCCGGCAGGCAAACGGACGTCGCACGGAGGGGCCGAGCGGGACGTTCCTCTTTGTTACTGTTAATCACCTCGAGCTCTTCTTCAGAGCTGTGAGGGTCGTGCTGGTCCGGTGCGGGACTCTCCATGGAACAACCGGTGTCTGCCGGGGAGACGCTACACATGCGTTCTGACATCACTGCAACAACAAAAACCGTAAAGTTTATAGAGTTATGGTTGTAGATAAGTGGTAAGAGGTGCAATGTTTGGTGAGCTATGAACAGGTTTCATGTTTACAAAGACGAGACCGGATTTATTTATTTAACAATTAAAATTGTTGGGGTGCGAAACAAAAGCAAGACAGTTAAACAGAGACGAATATCAAAGTAAAGGAGAACAATAAAAAGAGCAAGTATATTCTGAAAACGAATGTTGAAAGATGACAGATTTTTACATCTTCTATTCAGCTGCTGCTGGAAGTAGTTTTTGTGTATTTCGTTATTGAATTTATGAAAAATAAAAAATAAACCTTGGTTCTCAAGCCAGACACTGTGGGTCATGTAACAGTCAAAATTTTTAAAAATTAAGTAAAAATGCACAGTTGTACTCAGCAAACCTCAGTACGTTTGAGTTCTAGTTGCGAGAAACAAGTGGCGTAGCCTTAAACACATTTTTGTTTTAAAATATCACATTACACTATTCCGTAGCCATTCCTATGCTAGCATCTGGACGTCATATGAGGCGAATGGCGGGATTGCAATAATTGTCCGAGTAAGGTACTTATTCGTGGTTCAGTGCGAATTTTTGTAGAAATGTAGCCTGTATTATCAGTGCGTGCGTGTTGAGTATTTTCGAGTGCCTAATAGGCATTTAGTAGTGTGCAATTTTTAAAATTTCGAGTTATTAGTGAATGCCAAAGAGGGAAATGGAGGACGCAATGTTGCTAAAAGGATCCAGATTAAAAGGACAGCGAACATTTTCAACAGATTTTAATAACACATTAAACTGATTTTGTGATTCTTTATTTTCAGTAGGTCCGTTTAAAAAGCAGAGGCGAATTGCTACAAAGGGTAGCAGAAGAAGATGCCATATAAGGTTAGTATGTAGGTATATTTTAATTTATTATTCTGTTGTTTATCGCAGAGTAAAGTGTGTAAATTTGTGATTTTTGAGTGCAACATTAAGTATTGTCTTTTTTCTGAACAGGAAAGAAAAACCAAAAAAACTCGAAAAATCTCCAATAAATATTAAAACAAGTTTCAATTTCACATTCAGCCTCCAAAAAAATATATCTAAATCTACAGGAATAGAAATAAGTGTAAATTTGTCATACAGTGTAATCAGATTTAATTTTTTTTTGAATATTAGTTGTTTACACATAAGAAATTTGGTCAGATCCTTTAGTAATTTTCTGTAGATTCTAAATTTGATATTATGTATTACGTTTATAAACACTATATTTACTATTTTATTTAGTATGGTTAAAGCTTGATCTGTCTCAAAACTTATTAATATTCTAGTATTGCATTTTTTTAAGTTGTTAGAGTAATAAGAAACAGTTTCAAAGAAAAGTACTGAAATATTGTTCTGTCCATCTAAAACTTGTAATATCGTTCGTCCTTAATTCAAAGACTTTTCAAAAGCTTTTCGTACTGTTTTGAATTTTTTTTTCTCAAAACATTAAATACTGAATTTCGATAATGGGCCTGAGAATCGGTTCAAAAGTAGCCAAATTTCATTTTTCTTGTTTCATTATTTGTTCTGTAAAGGATAAAGGTTTTTTGGAATGAAAAGGTAAAAATGTTAAGAAGCCCTGTTTGTTAAGTGCTTGTACATGTCGGTTAATGGATAATACAGTCGTGTAGGTATCATAATAAAGTGTACCTCCTGAAGATAAATATTGTGGAAGCGAGCGGTCTTGTATGAAATCCCGAGTAATCGAGATAAATTCCCAAATGCCATATGCGGTTATGAAACAGCAGAGATATGGCCCGTAAAGTTCGCGTAAACCATCGTCCGATATCATACGGCATTCTTATCTAGAATCCTCATAAATACAACGCTATCTCACAAACAAATTCACTGCCCTTTATCTTAACTATAATATTATATGGCACCCATTGCATTATATGCAATGCTGCGTCCAAGTTGCTTTTTTAATACGCCATCAATCTTGTTTTAATGTAAATCATGTCCAACTCTAAACAATGCACACCTGAAAGAATGGTTATGGGTTGAATGGCGAACGCAATAAATTCAGAGACGTCGATGTGCATGAACAAACGATGGGAGTGCCTCGATCCATGATATGAATAACAAACCAAAATTAAAACTAATCTTTCTTCCCAGATTTGAGCGGCGACCTTTCCCAAAATCACGCAAACCTTACCCATTTCATTGTTCCACAACTCCAATCTCCCATAAACACGTTCTAAATCAGTTTTACATCATCGAACAATTTTTACTTAATCACGAAAATCACGGAAAATCGACATTCACACTCGAGAATTTTCAGACGAGCTCGATTTTCCCTCACCGGAAGCAAACAGTTTTACAATTAATTTTATATTCTGCCAGCACTAAATGGATGTTCTTGTATGGCTGAGGGGCTAAATATAGGGGCTCAAGGATTGCGATTTAATTATCCGGAAAAATCAACAAACAAAAACAACGACTGTATACCGAATGAATAAGATTACTTATCTTACATTTACTTAGTATCTTAATGTATAAAGTCGTGGTTACAGTTATTGCCCTGACGTAATTTCCTCAAATACAAAACAATGATAAAATTTGGGTTATTTCAAGTTAGCCCAGTGTGTGGTGCAGTTAATTAAACCTGCGCAGATCTACTAGTCATCATAAACTGGAATCGTAATTCCCAATAACGTATCCTGATCAACATAATACGGATTATTGTTTGAGGCAATAGACAAGAACCGTATAATTCTAGAAATTCAATATCAACACGATTGAAGCAATAATTGCGATCAGAATTGTCGTTGGGGCACCTTCAAAGTCACTGTCTATAATTGCCTCCAACAACCTGCATTATTATAATCGCGATACATAAAAGAATTCAAATCTTCATTGTTCTCCCAGCTATCGTATTTGTTATTGTTACGGTTGTAATTTTATTTTGCATTTTAAACGTGAAAAAATCCATCTTAAAGTTATTTCATTAGCGATGACCCATGTCAAAAGACATGAACCGGATGTGTGTAACAACTATTCCTTTTCTTTGCAACTTGTACTATTTACATTTAGCATCCGGAAATAAAGGTTTAGGAGCAAATTGCATAAAACTTTGCTCCACAACTAATAAAAAGGAAATGAGAACAACGGAGTTGTATGACAGAACAAGCTTTATTTTAAGATTAAGATTTTTCAAGATTTGCATCGTCCTACTCGCGATTGCGAAAAATTACAAGTAGCTTATTGTTAGAAAGGCTAAACTCAGCTTAACACGCCCTGTATTCCGTTATTTATATAATTGACAAAGCTGATGAAAAAATCACCTGCTTTCACTTTACCATCGTTACTTTTGACGGTTGCATGTCTGCAGTCGTTTCAATCGCACTCTTCGAGGTGCAAAATGCAGCGCTAAGTGGAAAATAGTATACTATAAAGACCTAGACCTCATACATGGCCGAGTACAATGCACGTATGACCATAAACATTTATTTTATACTTTTAAAACAATCTTGTACGAGTGGTTGACTCACTCCTACAAAGGTGCGGTTTCCATAAACGATTATGCCAACATTTTAATACTCCGTAATTATGGTGATGGTAACAGCACCTTTAGGTTTTCAAACGTTGCTATTTTTCAAGAGTATCATTTAATTACAATTCATGACCACAAGGTTATATTTATATTATATGTGTGGTAATGCTAGTTCCAATATCATTCGCTAGCTCCAGATAAAAGTGGATTTTTGCAGGCTTTCCAACTATGATACTGTTACAACTAACAAACGCCATAAATAACACAAAGCAGGACAATAAAACTAACAAAATTACCAAACTTTCATTTCATGTATTCAATAAACACAAAATTCCACGAATTAATCAAATCAATTAGGCCTTCTTTTCGCAGAGGTAGCCAATGACTTCGTTTCAAAAACAAATTGTCTGGTTTCAACAAGGAGCTTAAGGTTGAACAATATAAAGTAAAAAATTAACTCAACATTAAAATATTCCGAAAAAAAATGTACTCGTATAGTGTAGTCAGATTTGTGCTTTTTTTATTAAAAAAATTCAATAAATGTTATAAATCGTCGTTGATTTTCTAGATAGAACCTTCTATGTGGAAAAATCATAATTTTTCAGGAGAAAGAAAAAAACTATTAGGTACAACTTTAACTTTATTGTTTTGATATTTGGTTACCACAATTATGGAAAATACCAATACACCTATGTAAATAATTTATACATACGGGATGCGCCAGAACTCGCGCCCCAGAGAAAAATACCATATAAGGTAAGATACCAGGCACATGGAAAAAATGTTAAAAAAATTTTATCTATAAAAATTTAGAAGTTATGAGGGTTTAAAGTTTGCACTTTGACTCTATTTATTTCTGTTGGAAAAATAATTTTCCCAGTTTTTTTGCTATAGGCTATTAGAAGAGGAAACAAGGAAGCTATATCCTAAATTGTAACTTTATTCAATGTTATTTTTTATTTTACTAAATAATTGTAAAAAAACATATACAAGAATCATTAAATAAACATAAAAAAAATTCAAATGTCAAAAAATAAATGTCAAAATTTTTTGACAGATTGAATTTTTTAAACATTTTTTCCATGTTCCTGGTATCTTATCTTACTTGAATTTTTTCTCTGGGGCGTGAGTTCTGGCGCACCCTGTATGTAATTCACTAAAATTTCATTAAAATATTATTATTATTTCTTAAAATTGTGACGAAAAGTATCAAACTGCTAATTTAAACATATACCAGCTTTCTTTATAAGGAATAGAAATACTTATCTCAATTAAAGAATAACCTGATTATTATATATCACAATTCGTAATTAAATATGTTTATTATTATGAAACCAAATAAAATAAATAAAGAGAATATGTGAAACAAAATAAAAACCTCAATAAAAACAAAGAAGAAACAAAACTGACCGATTATGTAGCTGAAAGAAGCAAAACAAAAACAAAAAGATGAAAAAAAGATAATTAAAAAG